ATTGCTGGTAGATTATCAGACAACGGAGAAGGAAACGTTTCAAGTAATGATGTTCCTGGTAAACTACCAGACAACGGAGAACACAGAGTTTCAAGTCATTGATGTTGCTTTTAGATTACCAGACAACGGAGAAGGACAGAGTTTCAAGTCACTGATGTTGCTTTTAGATTACCAGCCAACGAAGAAGGATAGTGTTTCAAGTCACTGATATTGCTGGTAGATTACCAAATAACGAAGAAGGGCAGAATTTTAAGTCACTGATCTTACTGGAAAATTACTACACACATCCAAATCCTCAAAAACTTCACACATAACTTCCAGACTCAAAAGTGTTGAGGTGTTGATCCAATTTATTTTGTTTCTTATTCGCTTTTACACGGTTCATTATATTTTTTGTTAGCTAAGAGGAAAGTAACAACATATATTTTAAGGTTTCAATGTTTTCTTTTTTTTTTGCTGAGGCTCGATAACAAATATTTAACGCTGAACTTAAAATACATTATTTACTTCCAGAAAACCGTAAAGTGTAACGAAAAGAAAATAGAGTCATATCATAAAAAATAAAAGTTATATGTTAAGTCGAATATTTAATAACAATAAAATATTCACATATTTTAACAGTTCTAAGGAGATTTACTTCTATAGCTTTTTTCTATAATTCCCCGAAAGAAATCAATATATTTTCCGAGTATGATGTCATAAGCTAAGTTACCTTAGGAACCTCAATAGGATCATGACCCAGTACATTTGCGTTTATTGGGTCATGGGCTAATGATATATACTCCTTATGCTAAATCTCTGGAAGGGTAATTTGTTTTAATCACTCGCACCACTATACAGTTGTGTGTTGTCTGTCATTCAGTCAGTAGACACTAAAATACCATCAAATAAGAGACGCTTAACGTTGCAATTTTTACTGTCATGTCGTCAGTAAAATGTGTGCATGCCATGAATCACAATAATAATTTTGCCCTCTGTCGGCTACAACACAGTCTGAGATATAAACTTCGAAAGCAAGAAATAAAAATGTTTGTTACTCTTAGTTTTGGTTTTACTTACTCTTGAAGGAGAACACTTTCGGGGATCCTGCGAAAGTACACTTAGTAAGACATTTATGTATATCAAAGCACATTGGAAACAAACAATTATATCGGTCGTTACACGTTACAGTTTTCTTTCTATGTTTACAAAGTTCCTTCTCACTTGTGAGTTAGATAGATCTGTCGTACACCATGCAGAGGTTTGAGTACGTTATTCTAAAACGATTTTTAATCTGTAAATCAGCAAGTAACGTGATATCCACAGCCGATTCAAAGTCGCGATGGAACAGAATGTATCACAAGTATGTTTTAACGTTATTTGGAATTTCGTAGGTATTGTTATGCCACCAAAAATTGTTGCATTTGAGAACCGTATTTAACAGCCTATTCCTACGCAAAATATACATACAATGAGGTCATAAAGATGTACGATATTCCTTGCACTTATTGCACACTGGAAAATGAAGAAATGTGGATCAATCTGGGAAACCAGAACCATCCAGAAAGCGATCTGCAAGAAGTCATACCCGGGCCATGGTAAGCAAAGTGCGGTGTCTTGTAACAGGTAAAAAACGACGAACACAAAGGGCAGTGGCAAAAGCCGTCCACGTGCCCCAAGCAACATAATAAAGAAGAACCTCCATTTAGAAAAAACACAACAAAAAACAAGTCACATGTATACAAGCTGCTTCTATGACATACCGTTCCATGATCGCATACCTCAAGTAGCTGGAGAATGAAAAGGGTATTCATGCTATTCCACGCAAAGACGTATCGATCAAGTACTGGTGATTCATGTGTATGAATTTCTTTGCGATTGGACTGTTGAAATGGACACTGGGAAACAGTTATTTTCATACACTAGATAGCTTATGGAAAGCCTACAGGGAGAAGTGATGGGTTTTTGACAGCCTTACGCTGAAGCTTATTGTAATGAAAAGTACGCTACAGGACTATTGGTGTACGGCCCTCAGATAGAACATGGACTGTGTTACGACATGGTGAGGCTACAAAATTGTTTTAATATGACGTACTCATCCTCTGTATATGTTTCTAAGAAATGGGGTATCCGAAAAAATCTACCTTATGACTGCAGGGTGAAGCAACTCATGTGTTAATATAATATTATTTTATGTATTATTGGTCCACTGTATGTGTTTTTGGCACCCCTGTAGGTGAATTATTTTGTATGTCTTGCTGAGAACAGACTCAACTAACTCGGTGTCTGGGGTACAAATCGATATTTGAAGTCTGTTTCTTAAATTAACACGGCGTCTAGTTGCGGCTGTGCATGCTTGACATGGTTTCGAAATAAGTTCCCTACGATTGTAGCGAGCCAGTATCGGCAGATAGTGGTTATCTGCTTGTGTTATAGATAAGGATCTGTTTTGTTCAGGGGACTAGGCAACTTCACCCCTGGATTTAAAGCAGTTTTACATTCTTGTAAGACAATATTTAAGCATTTGTTTAGCCAACTCGTGACAGTCTGCTGCGACTGGCTAATTTCGATTCATGAGATGACTTTCAACGTATGTGAAGTATCCAGGTACCTTATTTGAGGTCTAGTCATGGGTTATAAACAATTTGGTGCAATTCAAACTATGTGATCCACTTCTAAGTGACAATTGTCTTAAAATTGTACAAGACCACTGTATATAACATTAGCTGATTGGTCAATCATTTCCACTTCAGGTCACGTGGTCGATAATCTTCACAACAATGAACTGCAAAGAGAGGCTGATATTTTTTTATAACAAGGATTTTGCATGGTTATAAACTTAATATTACAAACTTCGATTACTTTCTATTTGTTTTGTGTATTCTTCAATGCATTTTCTGCCTTATTACTAATGAAATAAACAAGCAATGAAAGTTTAGAATACTGTACTTTTATTGATGAAAACTATAAATTAAAACCATCTAGTACAGAGAGAGAGTGAAAGTGATCAGTGTCTGATTAGCTATGAATAAATACGAATATAACTAGATTTCCGCATGTTCGTAAACATTACAAATTCATTGGGTGCTGACAAATAAAATATAAAATTGCTGGTTGATAGCTGAAACTATATTATCTCAGCAAAGGCAAGAGTTCCCGAAACACGTTAAACAGTAGATACGTTGCATAAAAAATACAACAATCACGGTTGTTGTTCGACAAATAATTCAACAATAAAAATAATACCACATTTAATATATCTATGTTCTTTAAAGAACGTTACAAATTCCTCGCTGAACTAACACTAGACTATAATTAATTGAGATTAGGTGTAATTATCTCCAGGTACTTAGTGTTTATTTATCGACATTTGAAGAGCAGTCTCTTGACTCCGACCTGAGATTTCATAATATGTAACACAGTTCTTTAGTTTAGTATTTCAAAACACATTTAAAGATTCAAAGGTTGTCATCTCCAAATTTTAACTACACTCTACTTGAGCTGTAAAAAACGTCTGTTTATGAGCGAATATCTTATGATTTTATTCTCACAAAAAAACAGAAACTTAATAGAATAAAAAAAGGGAATTTTAGCAAAAACATATGTATCGCGAAATCACAACAATACTGCTCTTAACAAAGCCTAAAATACAAACAATCTTACACATGGATATGACGTGAATAATATTTATATATATTTAAAAATAACTCGTACAAGCATTGTTTAATATAATCTAAATACTTGGTGTATAACAGGCCACCTAGTGGTGAGTAAAGGCATTTTCAACATCACGTATGTAGACTGCAGTTGATACTAATTAACAAGAGAATCTACCTACCGTGATGATCAACAACTAATATTGCATATCACACACTATATATATATATAAATATATATATATACTGTTTTGTAAATACGGTTATCTCCATATATATCTATATATATGTATATCTCAACATAATTACACTAACAATCAATAATACATATTTAGATACTATATGAAGAAAGGTGTTGCACCAATACGTTTCAACCTAAAGTGCTCTTAAAATACGACAAACAGCAACAAAGCATTATATCGTAACTCCAATTTTTTGTTCTATCACAGCAGAAAATGTTTGTCATACAGCAAAAATCTCAATAACTTTTAAATATTAATATTTATATTTCCTTTTGGAAGTTTAGAGAAATAACCTACAACTGCATGTTTAATTTACAAATATAAACGGTTGTTAATTTACCTTAACAGTTATTCATAATTAGATAACTGTAAAAAAAGTCGATAAACAGTAACTATAACACCATGTTGACTAAGCCAAGCAGTCCTTCATGTTGTTTTACACCATTTTAACTACGCTAAGTAGTCATTTAGGTTTTTTACACCATGATTACTAAGCTAAGCAGTCATTCAATTTTATTACACATTGTTGACTAAGCTAGGTAGTCATTCGGGTTTTAACACCATGATTACTAAGCTAAGCAGTCATTCAGTTTTATTACACATTGTTGACTAAGCTAGGTAGTCATTCGGGTTTTAACACCATGATTACTAAGCTAAGCAGTCATTCAGTTTTATTACACATTGTTGACTAAGCTAGGCAGTCATTCAGGATTTTTACATCATATTGACTAAGTTAAAAAGTCATTCAGTTTTATTACACATTGTTGACTAAGCTAAAAAGTCATTAACAAATACTTAAATAATAAATGACATATAAATATTTTTTTCTTTTGAAGAAAACTTTAATTCTGTCGCAAAATTCTTGCTCACCTCAAATTTTATTACATGATTTACAATAACGATAGATTACTGTTACACTTACTTTGTTAGAAACCAAAAAATACATTCCAACTAGACGCTTCCTAACTGGTATTATAGAGTTCACAATCAACAAAATGTAGCTAGGTGCGTAAGCTAGAGAGTTTAAATGAACGACTTCCTAATTCCCAACAAATACCTATATTGATTTTGTTGATCTAAAGTAAATAACGATTTTCAACAACTGCTGATTTAAAGTAAGATCAGGGGTTTTCAACTACTGGTGATCTGAGGTAAATCAGCGATTGTCAACAGTTGTTAATCTACGGCGAATTAGTGATTTTTCAACAATAGATTTTTCAACGATTTTCAAATATTAATGAACTAAGGTAGACCAATTGTTGATATAAGGTGAAATCAGCGGTTTTCGACTATTGTTGATCGAAGGAAAATCAGCAGTTTTCAACTATTGTTGTTCTAAGGTAAATCAGCAGTTTTCAACTATTGTTGATTTAAGGTAAATCAGCAGTTTTCAACTATTGTTGATCTAAGGTAAATCAGCAGTTTTCAACTATTGTTGATATAAGGTAAATCAGCAGTTTTCAACTATTGTTGGTCTAAGGTAAATCAGCAGTTTTTAACTATTGTTGATCTAAGGTGAAATCAGCAGTTTTCAACTATTGTTGGTCTAAGGTAAATCAGCAGTTCTCAACTATTGTTGATATAAGGTGAAATCAGCGGTTTTCGACTATTGTTGATCGAAGGGAAATCAGCAGTTTTCAACTATTGTTGGTCTAAGGTAAATCAGCAGTTCTCAACTATTGTTGGTCTAAGGTAAATCAGAAGTTTTCAACTATTGTTGGTCTAAGATAAATCAGCAGTTTTCAACTATTGTTGATACAAGGTGAAATCAGCAGTTTTCAACTATTGTTGGTCTAAGGTAAATCAGCAGTTTTCAACTATTGTTGGTCTAAGGTAAATCAGCAGTTTTCAACTATTGTTGATATAAGGTAAATCAGCGTTTTTCGTCCATGGATCTTAAGTAAAATGAGCGGTTTTCATCTACATAAGAACTGTTACTTGAGATCAAGTCTTCACATAAATAGTGAATGACGTCACAGATGTACAATGTTTTACATATACATTTACATATACGATATTCTTTTGTTTTCATATGTGATTAAATTACCTTTAACACATCTGTTTACTGTTTTCTTACACAATAACAGAGTGACAGTGTGAATGAATAATTAAAACATGTCACGATATTAAAATTGAAATACTGACCTTAAAAACAATAAATAAAAACGATGATAAAATATTAAAAACTTAACTTGTCACCAAAAAACCTATAAAAATAAAACTCGTGACGTTTATATTTCACTGAGACTTTGCAGCACAAGCTTATTTTGCTACATTAAACTTAAAATTCACTTTTACTTCATCTAACAAAGTACTGCTATTTTTAATTATACGTTTCAGCATTTAAAGTAGCATTAAATGAATCAAATATACTTATTTGAGTTTGCCTTAAACTAGGAAAAAATAATTAATAATGTGTTTATTAAACTAGGAACGATAAAGGAAAATATACATATTAGTTATTTAAATGTTGTCCCTAAGAGCAAAAAATAAACCATTCAATTATTTTTAAAACCCAGTACAAAGTCGCTCTTATTCATGTTGAATTCCGAAAATAAAACATAACGCACTCAATAAAATGTTTATATTTATATATTATTCTAAATATTTATGAATATAAATGAAAATTCCATCCAATATAATACATGTATTCAGCACTCTTAGTTTACCTATTTTCTTGTGTTTGATGACGTAAAGTTATTACATAAAAAGGCACACATATTTTTTATATTTTTTTTGTTTAAATTCTTCTAGACAGACTATTGAGACACACGAGGTTATTTTTTACATAAAAACTTGTGCGATTTGTTTTTACTTGTTACCTGTTTCAACTGTATATATGTAGAGTCAGACTGAACATGATATTTGTTCTCTGGTGGTTAAGACATTTAACAATGGAAAGAAATTAAAGTTTTTTCAATAAAAACTAATAACAGTGTTTACTGAATAGGAAGTTAATAATTAATAACAGTGTTCACTGAGTAGGGAGTGAGTTACTAATAACAATGTTCATTGAATAGGAAGCTATGAGTAACAGTGTTCAATTAACAGGAAATTATTAATACATGTTCATTGAATATGGAGTTACTAATAATAGTGTTCATTGAATATGGAGTTACTAATAATAGTGTTCATTGAATATGGAGTTACTAATAACAGTGTTCATTGAATATGGAGTTACTAATAACAGTGTTCATTGAATATGGAGTTACTAATAACAGTGTTCATGGTGTACTTGAGAAACTTAGCACATAATAAACACACAATAAGTGAACTAGTTTATGTTTTTCTTAGAAAATTATACTGTATCAAAAAACAAAATAAACAGTATGTATGCAAAGATATTACTTTCTGATTTCATCACCAGGTGCTTGGTTAGCTAAGGTTCTACAGGAGTAGGTTTACTCCTATCAACCCTTTCGTCGACATCTTCTTCGTCTATCTTTAAGTCGTTTTGTTTAAGTCGTTCTCGCTGTAAAAAGACATAACACAACAATAATATGATTTTAAGTCACTGGAAATAAGTTACTAGCTTCAGGAACAATAAAAGTACTTATACAAATAGTGGAAACAAGTTATTAGCTTCAGGAACAATAAAAGTACTTATACAAATAGTGGAAACAAGTTATTAGCTTCAGGAACAATAAAAGTACTTATACAAATAGTGGAAATAAGTTATTAGCTTCAGGAACAATAAAAGTACTTATACAAATAGTGAAAATAAGTTATTAGCTTCAGGAACAATAAAAGTACTTATACAAGTAGTGGAAATAAGTTACTAGTTTCAGGACCAATAAAAGTACTTATACAAGTAGTGGAAATAAGTTACTAGTTTCAGGAACAATAAAAATACTAATACAAATAGTGGAAATAAGTTATTAGCTTTACAAACAGTGGAAGTAAGTTACTAGCTTCAGGAACAATAACAGTACTTATACAAATAGTGGAAATAAATTACTAGTTTCAGGAACAATAAAAGTACTTATACAAATAGTGGAAATAAGTTACTAGTTTCAGGACCAATAAAAGTACTTATACAAGTAGTGGAAATAAGTTACTAGTTTCAGGAATAATAAAAGTACTCATACAAGTAGTGGAAATAAGTTACTAGCTTCAGGAACAATAACAGTACTTATACAAATAGTGGAAATAAGTTAATAGCTTCAGGAACAATAACAGTACTTATACAAATAGTGGAAATAAGTTACTAGCTTTAGGAACAATAAAAGTACTTATACAAATAGTTATATTTTAGGTACTCGTGTTCTTCTGGATTTAGTCACTGTGTTACCACGCTTTTCAAAAGACATGGAATCGTAATAACACATCATGAAAACAACTAGTTTTATGTGTTTGGTAAAGAAGTAATATTCCATTATACCTTTAATCTTAGTTTCATTTCCAGTGTACTGTTAAAGGGTTTTATATATATATATAATTTGTCTTTATTTGCTTTATATATATATATATTTATTATGAGGATGACTTTGCATTGTTAACTTAATATATGGATTTAGGACTAACTTAAATCTTCTAACTTTATCAAATATTATTGGGATTACGGCCGAAAATATCAATAACGGCAAGTGGACCAATCTGATAACTCCATGTATTCCGTAGGATTTCGTTTTATGACACTGCAGAATCCTCGTTATACCAATATGTTGAATTAGATGCATTAAATCAAACGTTAAATTTTAGTTCTGATCTTAGTAGGTAGATTATTTTGGTCACAACTGATAATATAGTCTCTGTTTTTAGAAACAATGTCTCAGAGAACATAGGGCCTAACAAGTATAGACAAATAACTTACCAATGACGAAGGAGGACGTGGCGTCTTGTTAATTTCAGATTTAGTTGGTGGGCGATACAACGGAGCTGAAGGAACGCTCAGTCGACGGTTACTGTAGCCATAGCTACCAGCTGTTGTAAATAGTGCTTCTTCGTGATGGATACCGCGGTAGGACGGCGGTTTACCAGCAGACTTATAAACGGATAACACACAGATATAGCAATGGCTGGTTTTGTAATAGTAAATTAAAAGGTTTTTCTATTCACAAACAACAGTAACTCTTAATCACACTCTTTTATTAAGAGATGAGGGTCCCACTAGACCATTAAACTTAATAACTTGATCAGATTTATTCAGATGTTTTTATTTTAAACAACTACCAACTGCAACGTTTCAGCTTATAGGATCAGATCATCTTCGGGTAATGCATGGTTAACAACCATTACGAATTCAATACACAACGGTTATTTTCAGAAGTGCATTGTGCATGTGTTGAATAATAAATATTTAACATAAGTGGGAATGATTATTGTATGGCTATATTGAAGGACCTTCCTCAAAAGTAGGTTTAAGAACACATTGATTAATGATTAACGAGGGCTATCTGCATTAGCCGTCCCTAATTTAGTAGTGTGAGACTAGAGGAAAGGCAGCTAGTCATCACCACCCACCGCCAACTCTTGGGCTACTCTTTTACCAACGAATAGTGGGATTGACCGTCACATTATAACGCCCCCACGGCTGAAAGGGCGAGCATGTTTGGAGCCCATTAATTTGACAGTAAGTTGTGTCATTGAATTTAAAGGAAAACGTTGTTGGTAGGCCAAATAAGGTCACAAAATTTGAAAAGATTTTGGTAATTCTTTATTTGGGGTTACTGATGATAGTTTCAATACCTTGTTTGAATGTTTTTTCTTCTCGAGGAATTTGGGTATCCAGATTTTGTATATTTTAATTTTACGATTTAATTTCTTTGAGTATTGAAGAAAATGAGATTTGTTTTTGGGGTGCTTGCTGGGTGGTGAAATGATCCAAGAAAGAAGTATGCCAATTTTGTAAGTGAATAAGTAAAATTGTGAAACGGGTTTTTAGAGGTTTTTTTTTGGGGGGGGGGGGTTACATCTATGGGAATCCTTAAAGTTGCGATGTCTTGCCTTCGCTACACTGTAACTAACTGCCTATTTGTTAACTAATGATATTTTAGTAAGGGCCTCTCTTTACCTGGTAGTTCTGGCTCTCGAATCACTATCTACGGGTCGAGGGGTTAGAATCTCCGTCACACCGAAAATGTTCATCCTTTCAGCCGTGGAGGCGTTATAACGTAACGGTCAATCCTACTATTTGCTGATAAAAGAGTAGCACAAGAGTTGGTGGTGGGTGGTGATGACTAGCTGCCTTCCCTCCAGTCTTCTTCTTCGGCTTTTCACTTTAGCATAGGTTGCCGTGCTTCGCACGTGTTGCCTTTCTCCAATAACATCTGTTCATTGCCAGGTCTTCTATAATTTATTTCTAGTTGAGGTCTATCACTGCTAAATTAGGGATGGCTAGCGTAGATGGCCCTGGAGTAGCTTTGTGTGAAATTCAAGAAAAACCAGGCAAACCTTTTTGTACTTTTTAAAAACACGATTCACCTGCCTCTTATATACGAGATAAAATATTCAATACGTATTTTAACGAATAACTTAAAGTTTCGTTCATTAATGCGATTTAGTGACTCTTATAGAGGACGACGGTTTATGACTTTTGTGATTGTTAAGTTAGTTTGTTTTCTTAACGTCTTTAATCCTCTCCATTCTTGTTTAAATATGGTTTAACCTTGGTGTATTTGATTAAAACTCTATGATTGGTAGACACACCAATCCTGGATGTTTGGTTAAAACGATGTGAGTTATTAGACACACCAATCTTAGATATTTGGTTAAAACTCTTTGTAATTTGGTAGACACACCAATCTTAGATATTTGGTTAAAACTCTTTGTGATTTGGTAGACACACCAACCTTGGATGTGTGGTTAAAACTCTTTGTGATTGGGTAGACACACCAACCTTGGATATTTGGTTAAAACTCTTTGTGATTTGGTAGAGACACCAATCTTAGATATTTGGTTAAAACTCTTTGTGATTTGGTAGAGACACCAATCTTAGATATTTGGTTAAAACTCTTTGTGATTGGGTAGACACACCAATCTTAGATATTTGGTTAAAACTCTTTGTGATTTGGTAGACACACCAACCTTGGATGTGTGGTTAAAACTCTTTGTGATTGGGTAGACACACCAACCTTGGATGTGTGGTTAAAACTCTTTGTGGTTGGGAATAAACACCAACATTGGATGTGTGGTTAAAACTCTTTGTGGTTAGGTAGACACAACAACCTTGGATGTGTGGTTAAAACTCTTTGTGGTTGGGTAGAAACACCAACATTGGATGTGTGGTTAAAACTCTTTGTGGTTAGGTAGACACAACAACATTGGATGTGTGGTTAAAACTCTTTGTGGTTAGGTAG